AGGGCTATGCGGCCTCTTATCTGACTGTTCCCTGGCTAGAATGTATTTTCCATCTCCTGAGAAGCTAAGGAGGGTCCTTCCTTCTCCACCCGTTATACAGCTGTGGCCATGTTGCCCCTTATCCGTTCCCTAGACAGCATTCCCACCCACCCCCACTTTACAGCCCCAAAAAACTATGGAGGGGCCCTTTTAAACCTCTTTCTCCAACCATTATGCAGCTTCAGGCGATGCTGCCGTCAAGGCTGAAATGGACATACGCGTAGCCATTTTATTTAGCCTTTTTATATATTCTTTTTCTTGTCTCTCTCTTTGCTGGTTATGCGGGATAGCGGGGAAACCGTGGTGGGTATTCAGCCGGTTCGCACCGGATTGGGCAAACCGGTAGCAAGGATTTGGCGTGGGTCAGCGAACCGGTAGTAAGTTCTGGCTGGCCACGGCCCTGACCCGGTTGTCCAGTCGACGCTGGCCCACCCAATGCTCACTCACCCCGTCCACCTGACGCTCGCCCCTTAAGGTATTTCTTTCTTTTTTTTCCACCCCTTCCGACAATCCGTTGTTCATACAATCAGCCGTGACGGAATTCCCCTTGCTGAGGCCCAAGAAGGCAAAAAATGGCTCAGCCCCGCCCTTCCATTTTTCCCTTCCTGAGCCTCAGAGGAGCCTTATGAGAGTAAAAACGCCCCCCCGAGGCTCTTCTGAGGCTCAGAAGGCCCCCCAAAATGGGTAGGGGGAGTGGCTGCAAAAAAGCATAACAAACAAACAACCCCCCACCTACCAAGCTATGCCCACAGAACCAGTAGTAAACATTTTTGAATCGCACCACTGGGTGGGGTGTGGGGGGGAGAGCTTTTGGGCTTGCCACATTCTTAAGGTGGGAGGAATAGAGATCGAATTGTTTAGGCTAGGTGGGTTCTTCTTCCCGTGGGAACAAAAGCCGACCCTTGCTGAGACCTGGAGGTGGATATTGAGGACGCCAGGCAAACGTTGATTTACTTCTATTGGGGAATGTGACTTTTGGGGGGCTGGTTCTAACTTCCAATATTATGTGGTGTAATTCCAGGTGGTGTCAGATCCGGAATTACCGCAGACTTTTGCCAATTTGATACTTTCCGAAATAAAAGAAATGGTTTCCGAAGGCGGACTTTGCTCTTTTCTTTTTTTAAAATGGATTTCATCCCTTGGAAACCTGACGGCCGCCTCTTACCTGACCGTTCACCAGGCAGCATCTCTTACCGCCACCCCCTCCTCTTTTACAGCTTGAGAAACTAGGGAGGGTTCCAGGGGTGGGCTTCAAAAAATTTAGCAACGGGGTTCTCTATCCGGTTGCTGAGTGGGCGTAGTCAGGGTGGGCGTGGCCTAGTTCAAGGGTAGGGAAACCTGGCTCTTTGATATCACTTATGGACTTCAACTCCCAGAATTCCTGAGGGAGCCATAAAAGGTTCCCCATCCTTGGCCTACTGGTTTTTCCAGTTGTGAGGGAAATCAATGTTTGACTTGAATGGGACTGTTTAGGAAGTGGTGTTTTGGGGCTCCTGAGGCTTTCCTCGAGCCTCCGGGAGGGTGAAAACAGCCTCCCCGGGCTCCGGAGGCTCTTCGGAAGCAGGAAACAGGTCCATTTCCGGCCTTCTTGAACTTCCGGGAGGCCCATTTTTCACCCTCCCGGAGCCTCTGCGTGCACCCTGCACTTACCTGCATCTAAAACGGGCCATGTGGTGACCCCGGGGAGGGGAGGGGTGGGCGGGGCCAGCCAAGAGTGGTTCTCCAAACTGTGCAGAATCTTAGCTGGGGGTTCTCCCGAAACCCCCGCGAACCTCCAGTAGCCCATCCCCGGAGAGCTCCTTCTAAATCTCTTTCTCCGTCTGTTATACAGCTGCAGGCTAGTCGATCTCTTATCTGCTTATTCCGAAGGCAACATTTCTTCCCGAGTCTCCGAAGAAACTAGGGAGAGTTTCGTGTGAGTTTCTTCCTCCATCCGTTATGCAGCTTCAGGCTACGCTGCCTCTTATCTGACTGCTCCTCGTAGGCAGCATTCACCTTCCCCACCCAGCCCGTCTCCATTAAAAGACCGAGAAACTGAGTTGGGGAGGGATTGGTCCCTTTTGAGTCCCTTTCTCCATCCGTTAGGCAGGTAGTCCTCGATTTACGATCACAAGGGAGCCCGGAACTCACTTTGCCAAAGCGAGGCCTTCGTTCGGCGAGCTTCGCCCCGTTTCTTTTCTTGCCGCATCGGTTAAACTCCGCGAATTGCCTGCGGCTGTTTAACTTAAGTTGCCAATCCGGGTTGTTGAGGGAAGTCGGCTTCCCCGTTGACTTTGCTTTGTCGGGAAGGGGATATCGCGCGACGGCAGGGACACTGCGACCGTCGTAAATAGGAACAAGCCTCTGAGTGTTCGATCAGGAGATACTGCAACGGTCGTTAAGTGTGAAAAACAGACATCGGTCACCTTTTTTTTCCCCTCTCACTGCCGTTGTAGCTTGGAAATGTTGTAAGTCGAGCCTCTACAGCACAGGGCCAAGCCACCTCTTATTTGTCCATTCCGCAGGATCAATTTTTCGTCAGTCTCTCAAAGTCTTTCTCACATACCTGTACATTTCCTAATATGCCAGACCAAGGCTCTAATTTGAAGCCCACCCACCCACCCTGATTAAAATTCAGACCCTGCCCTCATTTCCCATGTGTGTGTGTCTGTGTGTGTGTGTGCGCGGGGGGAAACCAGCTGTATTCCCCTCCCCACCACAGAAGGGCACAGCTTCCAAAGAGCCACCGTTCTGGTTTCCCCGCGGCCTTTTGACTTCCCCCGTTTCTTTTCCGTAAACAAGAGGAAAGTTACCTGGTCCCACGGATTCTTTTTCTCCAAGAAGCCCTCGTAGTAATGGGGGGGCAGAGCGGACTTGGCTTTGGCTGACCGCTGGCCCGGGGCGGCCATCGCTTCCCCTCCACTCTGGCCAGAGAAACCAGCGGCTGAAGGTTTTTCTCTCTCTCTCTCTCTCTCTCTGTGCAGAGTTGTGGAATCCACACCAGGAAGCAAAAATGCAATAAATTCAGTGGCACGGATTTTATTTTATTTTTTTTCTTCTTCTTCTTCTTCTTCTTCCTGGTTTTTTTTCTTTTTTTTCTCCCAGGTACCTGTAAATTTCCCCCGGGAGGCCGAACAGTCCGTGTGGTGCCCTTGGCCTCTCGGACCTTGGACAGGGGAAGGGAAAGGCCGGAGTATTTTAGCCAGCTGGTTTCTTCCTCGCTTGAGTTCACACGAAGAAAAGGAGGCGGCTGGCTTTTGTTCCGGAGGCAGAGACGATGCATTCGCAGCCTTGCTGGTTGGTCTCAGCCGGCTGTCGCGATCCGAATCTGGCTCTGCCCCGTCGGCCAAGCAAGTTTGGGGTTTTTATTTTTTATTTTTTTCCAAACGGAGGGGAAGAAAGGAGAGAAGAGGAGCAGGGTTTTCTGAGAAAGGGCAGAAAGCAGCTTTCAAGAAGTCCTGGCCAGAGTTCAAGTCCAGCCTGTTTGCTGTTGGGGAAATTGAGGCTGAGTTCCTGATGACCATCAGGGGGCAGGAGAGAGAGAGAGAGAGAGAGAGAGGAAGAGAGAGAAAGGGAGAGAGGGAGAGAAAGAGTGAGAATGGGAGGCAGGGAGAGAGAAAAAGAGCAAGAAGAAGGACGGAGGGAGAAAGAGAGAGAGAGAGAAAGAGCGAGAGAAAGGGACGAAGAGAGAAGCAAGAGAAAGAGAGAGAGAGAGAGAAAGAGTGAGAGAATGGGAGGGAGGGAGAGAGAAAGAGCAAGAGGAAGAGACAGAGGGAGAAAGAGAGAGAGAAAGAGAGAGAGAATGGGAGGGAGGGAGAGAGAGAGAGAGAAATAGAGAGAGAAAGGGAGGGGGGAGAAAGAGAAAATGAGCAAGAGAAAGGGAGGAGAGAGAAAGAAAGAAAAAGAGAATGAGTGAAAGGGAGGGTGGAAGGGAGAGAAAGAGAGAGAGAATGGGAAGGAGGGACAGAGAGAGAGAGAAAGAAAGAGAGAAAGGGAGGGGGAGAGAGAAAGAGGAAAAGAGATAGAGTGAGAGAATGGGAGGGAGAGAGAGAGAGAGAAAGAGAGAGAGAAAGGGAGGAGGGAGAGAGAAAATGAGCAAGAGAAAGGGAGGAGAGAGAAAGACAGAAAAAGAGAATGAGTGAAAGGGACAGAGAGAAAGAGAGAGAGAATGGGAAGGAGGGAGAGAGAAATAGAGAGAAAGGGAGGGAGAGAAAGAAAGAGCAAGAGAGGGAGGGATGTAGAGAGAGAAAGAGTGAGAGAATGGGAGGGAGGGAGAGAGAGAGAGAAAGAGAATGGGAAGGAGGGAGAGAGAGAGAGAGAAATAGAGAGAGAAAGGGAGGAGGGAGAAAGAGAAAATGAGCAAGAGAAAGGGAGGAGAGAAAGAAAAAAGAGAATGAGTGAAAGGGAGAGTGGGAGGGATAGAAAGAGAGAGAATGGGAAGGAGGGACAGAGAGAAAGGGAAAGAAAGAGAGAAAGGGAGGGAGAGAGAAAAAGGGGAAAAGAGAGAGTGAGAGAATGGGAGGGAGAGAGGGAGAGAAAGAGCGAGTGAAAAGGAGGGAGGGAGGGAGAGAAAGAGTGAGAGAATGGGAGGGAGGGAGAGAGAGAGAGAAAGAGTGAGAGAATGGGAAGGAGGGAGAGAGAGAGAGAAAGAGAGAGGGAGGGGGGAGAGAGAAAATGAGCAAGAGAAAGGGAGGAGAGAGAAAGACAGAAAAAGAGAATGAGTGAAAGGGAAGGAGGGAGGGAGAGAAAGAGAGAGAGAATGGGAAGGAGGGACAGAGAGAGAGAGAGAGAAAGAACAGACTAAAGGGAAGGAGGGTGAGGGAGAGAGAGATAAAGGCACTCTGGTTTTTCAGGGACCTTTGGGTCAGCCACATTCTCTCAGCCCGGCCTACTTCGCAGGGTTGCTGTGGGGAAGAGAGAAGGACGGAGGGGCATCAGACAGGTCCTCCACCTTAAATTACTTATACAAATATTGAAGGTGGGATATAAATAAATAAAGTTAAGAAGAAATAAAGAAGGTGCAAAAGGAGAGAAGAAAGACTGGAGGGAAAAAAAAAACAAGCAATATCCATCTTTTTTTCGGTGCAGTAAAACACACCAAGATTCACAGATTACAAATGTTGACCTATCTAAATATCACAAGCCACCTCTCTCTATTTATTGCTAGCTCCATATCTGTGCGTCACTACAAAACTATACGGTCGGTCTTAGTTTTTGGGGAGGAAAATAAGGGGGAAAAAAATTCTGCCTCTGCCTACCAGCATCCATCGGTATTCATCTGGCTAGCGTCCTGTCAGTGTGTGTGAGAGAGTTGAAAGCTGTTTGGAAACTGGAACAGTATTTGCTGTGTGAGCAAGAAGGAGACAGCAAGGAGCCCGGGCGTGGCTTAGCTCAACTGTTCTGTACTAAAGCTGCCTGGTGCTGTGAAACTGAAACCGAAGCCGCAACTCCTCTCCTTTGCTTGTGTTTTGCATTTGGGACGGATGCCGCGATGGTCGCTAAGTGTGAAAGGCGGTCCTTAACTCCCTTTTTTTCTGTGTGGTAGTAAGTTTGAGCCGTCACTAAACGAACTGCTGTAAGTCAAGGACAACCTGTATTAAAAAAAACAGTCAACAGGTTAAGCCAAACACGACACTTATCTTCAAATCTCTCTGTTCACGCAAACCTAAAACGAGAGTTTGGAGGTGTCTTTCTTTCATTTTCCAGAACTGGTTTTTAAAGAGAAACAAAAATGGATTAAGATGAATGGATTAGCAGGGACCCTGTAGGTCATCTAGTCCAACCCCACCCCCCTCCAAAAGCAGGAGACAAATTCTTCTGCTTGAATTAAAGCTGGTATCTCTGCCAACTTCCAGGGCGCTGTCCCTTTAAGAGAAATGCCACCGGACCAAATTGGCAGCAATTCCTTTTTGAACTGGAGCCCAGAAATATCTTGTTTATCTACCCAGAAATATCTTGTTTATCTACCCAGGGCAAATCCAGCCTTTCCTAGCTGGCTGGCAAACCTAGAAGGTTAAATCTCTTCTTTGCAGGGTTTTTTTTTTGGTAAATCACCGCCGGTCGATCTGCTATTTGTCTTTCCACATTCCAGGAGCTCTGCCCTTTGCAACTTCAATAAATATTCTTCTTTTGTTTATTTATTTAAAAAGGTTGATGGAAAGAGGCTGTATGCCACAGAGGCGGGAGAGAGAAAAACAGATACAGCTGTTTTTCCTCCTCCGCTTGTCTTTTTAAACCGTTTGCTAGTCCTCCCAACCGTTGATTTAGTATAATAGAATAACGGAGTCGGAAGGGGCCTTGGAGGTCTTCTAGCCCAACCCGGGCGTGGGATTCGCTGCCCGGTTCCTGGGTGGACTTGGCCATGGTGGGCCTGGCCTACTGGTACTACTGGTTAGGGCCGTTTTACGCCTTTCCCAGAGTCCGGAGGCTTCCCTCAGACCTGTGGGAGGGCGAAATCGGCCTCCCCTGGACTCCAGAGGCCTTCCGGAAGCAGGAAACAGGCCCGATCCCGCACTTCTGGAAGGCCCATTTTTTCCCCCCTCTCAGAGCCTCCGCTCAGACCCTGCGTTGAAAATGGGCCATATGGAGACTCCTGGGAGCGGTGGGGCAGGCTGGGGGGGGGCGAGCCGGTGGGTTGAAATACCGGTTCGGCGAAACCAGATACACAAATTTAACATCCAGTTCGCCCAAATTGGTCCAAACTGGTAGAATCCAACCCCTGGCCCAACCCCAAAAACCAAACAAATTCCAAACAAATGATTGTCCGATTTCTTCTTAAACAGTCCCCAAGGTGATTTTTTTTCTCTTTTTCAGGAGGAAATTGGACTTCCTGGTTTTTGAAAATGTTTCGCTTCTCATCCAAGAAGCTTCTTTAGCTCTGACTGGATGGTGGAGGAACGGAAGGATTTATTTCCTTGCAGACAGCTGGTCGTTTGCATCCTTTTAGAGGGTCGTTGAGGCCACCTGGAGGTTTATCTGTGTCCTCGGGGTCACCTGAGTGGTGCTCCAGGTTGCTGTAGTCTCCAAATCCTCTGCAAATCCGTTCCTCCTCGCACACCATCCTTTGGAAATCCAGTAGGAATGGATTTCCAGAGGGCAAAATTGCAGGCTACAGGAACCATTTGCACTACTCAGGTGACCCTGAGGACACCGATTAAACCTTCAAGTGGCCTCAACGACCCTCTAAAAGGATGCAAATGACCAGCTCAGCTGTCTGCAAGGAGTATAAATCCTTCCGTTCCCCACCATCCAGTCAGAGCTGAAGAAGCTTCTTGGATGAGAAGCGAAACGTCTTCAAAGAAAAACCTGAAACAGCACCTGATTTGAGGACACAGATAAACCTCCAAGTGGCCTCAACGACCCTCCAAAAGGATGCAAATGACCGGTTCAGCTGTCTGCAAGGAATATAAATCCTTCCATTCCCCACCATCCAGTCAGAGCTGAAGAAGCTTCTTGGATGAGAAGCAAAATGTCTTCAAAGAAAAACCTGAAACAGCACCTAATCTGAGGACACCGATAAACCTCCAAGTGGCCTCAACGACCCTCTAAAAGGATGCAAATGACCGGTTCAGCTGTCTGCAAGGAGTATAAATCCTTCCGTTCCCCACCATCCAGTCAGAGCTGAAGAAACATCTCGGATGAGAAGCGAAATGTCTTCAAAAGAAGAAAAACAACCAGAAAGTCTAGTTGCTTCTTGAAAAAAAGCACTTTTGGATCAACCATGATCTGGATGGCTGAGAATCTCTACGGACTCTTCTTGAAAGCCTCCAGTGATGGAGGACCCAGCTTCTGAAGGCAAGTCATTCAGCGTAACAGAATAACCGAATAACACAGTTGGAAGGGATGGATGAGCCATCTGCTAAAATAAAGCCAGGTCATACACACACCTGAAAGTAAATCAGGAAGCCTCTAATTGTGGGGTCTGTCCGGCAGGAATCCTTATCCACAGGAAATATTCACATGTAAATCTTGTAACAATCCTGGCTAGTTAGAAAGCTGATAAAAATAACAGGAGTTAGACAACTTGCAGACCTCAGCTAAAAGTTAGGAATAGAGAGGGCAGCAAATCAAATGTATAATTAGATCACTCTAATTAGCCAAGACTCGGGAATAAGGACAGCTAGAGACCAACAGAAGAAATTGTAGAATTATTACTAAAATGTTTATTAGATGGTATTTCTTATTATCTCGTTTTCTCCCACCTTCTCCTTTAGTGAAAATGTAACAGATAACAGATAATCAGAGTTGGAAGGGACCTTGTAGGTCATCTAGTCCAACCCCCCCACCCTTACACCATTTCTAACAAATGGCAGTCCAATCTCTTCTTGAAAGCCTCCAGGGATGAAGCATCTACAACGTCTAGTGACAAGCAGTTCCCCTGGTTAATTGTCCTCACTGTTAGGAAGTTTAATCTCCTTAATTCCAGGTTGCTTCTCTCCTGGATTAGTTTCCATCCGTTGTTTCTTGTTCTGCGTTCAGGTGTTTTGGAGAATAGCTTGACTTCTTCTTTTTGGGAATGGGACAACTTGCCACGAGAAACCTCAAACCGAGTTCTGGGATTCTACCGCCATCTATTGCCATCATTGCAACGTTCTGCAGGTAGTCCTCAACTTACAACAATTCCTTTAGTGACTGTTCAAAGATACAAAACGGCCCTGGAAAAAAGGGACTTATGACCGTTTTTCACACTTATGACCATCGCAACCTCCCCATGGTCAAGTCACTTGATCACTTTTGGACACTTGGCAACTGGTTTCTATTTACTGACAGTCGCAGCATCCGGGAGTCACGTGATTCCCTTAAGCCCGATTCACTTAATAACCAATTTATCGAACTGCAGTGATTCGCTTGACGGCTGTGGCCAGGAAGGTTGTAAAACAGGACAAAAGTCACCGCTCAGCAAACAATTGTGGCTCTATTGTGGTCGTAGGTCGAGGACTACCTGTATAGCAGAGCAAACAGCACCCTCTGCTGGTCAGCTTCTTCCTTGCAACCTTCAAGGGCTGAAAAAATCAATAATTCGTTTCCTTTCCGCCTCCCTTTTCTAAGTGCCAAAACTTTGATGAATACAGCAAATCCTCGACTTACAACGGTTCCTATAGGGATCGTTCAGAGTTACAACGGCGCTGACTCTGGACCGTTTTTCACACTTACAACCACTGCAGTCTTCCCCACGGGGACGCGATCGAAATCCTGACACTCGACTCACAATTGGGATTGTTCCGGTGTCACACGATCAACTTTTGCAACCTTCTGACCAATGGAAGTCAACAAGGGCAAACCAGATTCGCTCAAACAACCGTTTTCCTAACGTTTTCCTAACTGCAGTGGTTCACAACCAGGGTGGCCAGAAAGGGGGTAAAATGAGTCCAAACTCAGGGACCTTGGAGGTCATCTAGTCCAGCCCCTGCTCAAGGAGATAAGGGACTGTCTAGAGACCCTTCTTAAGAACCTCCAGGGGACGGAGCGCCCGCTTAATAAATGTCTTGATTAGCAACAGAAATTTCAGGCTCCATTATGGTCGTAAGTCGAGGACTACCTGTATAAGGAATCCCTCTACTTGAGACCCGAATTTCCATGGCTAAGAAGGATGGTTGTTGAACGTCCAGTAACGCAACTTGGGTGGGGGGTTTTGTTTTGTTATTTGCAACAGTGGTAATAAGGCCAATCCCTGCAGGTAAGTGAATCATACAGTCGAATGGTTGTAAGTCGAGGAATAGCTGTAATTGCTAGAGGCCTCAGGGGTCACTGTTTAGGTGACTGAAGTGGGGTCCCTTGTAATATTGGGTTGTGTGGGGCATGTCACTCACATAGTGAGCTGTGACTCCCATGTCTTTTTGATGTTTTATTGCTTTTCTTTTTTTAAAAAAGGAGTTTTTAATCATCTAGTATAGTTTTTACATTTTACCTGCCGCGAATTGCTTATTCCTTTGTAATGTGTTAGGCTGGCCTTACCACTGGACTCTGTTGATTCCTTCTGGCTGTGTTCTTCCTTCCTTCCTTCCCTCTATCTATCCTTCCTTCCTTCCTTCCTTCCTTCCTTCCTTCCTTCCTTCCTTCCTTCGTCTCTCCCTCCCTTCCCTCCCTTTGTCCCTCCCCCCTCCTTCATCTTCCTCCCTCCGTCATTACTTGTTCCTTTTCTTTCTTACCTTCTCTTTCCTCCTCCCTCCTTCCCTCCCTTTTTCCTTCCTTCCTCCCTCCTTTCCTCCCTTTCTCCCTCTCTCCTCCCTCCCTCCTTTCCCTCCTCCCTTCCTCCTTCTCTCTCTTTTTTCCTCTCCCTCCTTCATCTTCCTCCCTCCCTCCCCCTGTCATTACTTGTTCCTTTTCCTTCTTTCCTTCTT